CACCCTGTGCCAGCTCGTTTGTGAGGTAGCAAAGAGATCTTGGAGTGGGCTAAAGAGCTGCAATTTCCCGAGGAGCAAGTGAGAGGTAAGGATTGTGAGAACTGTGGCTTTTCTTCTGGCTTTAGGTTTCTAAAACCCCCTTTTTGAATGTGCCTTCAGGCTCATTCCTAAATGATCTCACAATGACCTCTACCTGTGTTCATAGCAAGAATCCCACCTACCACACCCTTGTAAAAGAGGTGCCAGCCAGGTGATGTGTTGGCCCAGCAGGGGCTACAAGGAGACCCTGTCTCAAAACTAAAAAAAAAAAAGTCCAGTTCAAAGTCATGCAGTTAGGATATAACAGAACTGGAATCTGAAAATAATTTCTGTAACTCTTAAGTCTCCATGAACAGCCATTATCAATAGGGCATGGTGGCATATGCCTTTAATTCCAGCACTTAGAAGGCAGAGGCAGTGCAGATCTCTGTGAGTTCAACGCTAGCCAAGGCTACATAGTGAGACCTATCTTAAAAAAAAAAAAAGCCATTATTTCGTGTGGCTTTGCCCGTCTGTCTTAAAATTACACCTTTCTTAATATTTATATGAAAAATTTTATTAGATGCATTGCACTATGCTAAGCACTAAAGATGCAACAATTACAAATGTGGTTACTGCCTTCAACACCTGCAGCCCAGCTGGGCATGGTGGTGCACATCTGTAATCCCAGCACTTGGAAGGTAAGAAGTAGGATGATCATAGTGAGGCCAGCCAGCCTGAGCTACATAAGATGGTCTCAAAACAACAAATATAATAAATCAGGAACTGGAGAGATGGCTCAACAGTTAAGAGCACCGGCTGCTCTTGCAGAGGACCTGAGTTCAGTTCCCAGCACCCACATGGCGGCTAACAACTGTCCATAACTCCAGTTCCAGGGAATCTGTTGCTCTCTTCTGGCCTCCATGGGCATTTCATGGCATAGATGCACTTACCTACATGCAGGCAGGCAATACACTCATACACATAAAATAAAAATAATAAAGAAAATATTAAAAAATAATAAATGGATAAATAAATGTGCAGCCTAATGGAATCGACAATGAGTAATGTACTCTAAAAAAGAATTCTTTCTGGGGTGCTGGAGAGATGGCTCAGTGGTTAAGAGTGCCTGCTGCTCTTCCAGAAGATCTGAGTCAGGTTCCCAGCACAGTGTTGGGTGTCTCACAGCTGCTTGTAACTCTGCCTTTCAGGGTCCCAATGCCTCTGGCCTCCACAGGCATGTGTACTCACATGCACATACTCCCCACCACATACACATACACTTAATTTAAAATAATAAAAATAAATCTTTTTTTAAAGCTTTCTACAGGGCATGGTAGCACACACTTGTAATCCCAACACTCTGAAAGCTGAGGCAGGAGAAAGATGAGTTTGAGGCTAACCTGGGCTACACAGCAAGACTCTCCTCTCCCCTCACTACCCTCCCAAAAAAACCTTTTGAATCTTTGCCTCCAAATGTGTTTTTCTCCCTTCTAGCCGTACTCATGGACTGGTTGATACTTCAAGATTCTTTAAAAACTTATTTATTTAACGTGTTTGAGTGCTATGTCGGCAAGTATCCGTGTTATGCAATACCAGTGGAGGCCAGAAGAGGACATCAGATCCCCTGGAACTGAGTTATGAATGGTTGTTAGCCACCAAGTAGGTGCTGGAATTTGAACCCAGGTCTTCTATGAGAGCAACCAGTGCTCTTAACTGCTGCGCCATCTGTCCAGCCCTGATACTTCCATTTTTACCCCTTCTTCCTTTGTCCCTCTTCCCCCTTCTCCCCCCAGTCCCATCCCTGCCCGATCTTTCTGTCTTTATTTTTCTCTGTCCCCCAGTATATCTCACATTTTTTCCTACCTGTCTTTTCCTTCTCTCCTCGTCATTGCCCTACCCACCCAAACATACAGACTGTGCTGTATTTTATTTTAGGTGTATGAGTGTATTGCCTGCATGTATGTAGGCTCAACCATGACATGCAATGCCTGTGGAGGCAGAAGAGGGCGTTGGAGTCCCTGGAACTGGAGTCACAGATGGTTGTTAGGCACCATGTGGGTGCTGGGAACCCAACCCAGTAAGTCAGTGCTCCCAACCACTGAGCCATCTCTCCAGCCCCCAGACTGTGATTTCTTGATTTAACTCATCAATTTCTCCTGCTAATGAGGTAACAGACCCAGACCCCAGTCTGATCATCATCTCTCCCCTAGCTCTCTCCACACATACTTCAGATCCTCAAGTTCTCACCCACAAGGAGCCCTGGGGTAGATGCACTTCCCCATGGCTACCTAGTCCACAGACATTTACTGTCTTCCTGACATGATTTGGCTTGGTTTTCAAAGACAGTCTCCCTCCAGGTCAGGCTAGCTTGGTTGAGATTTCTGGGTATGGAAGTTTGCCTGCCAAAGCTAGCAGGCCACCAGAATACAAACCACTGATGCCCCACATCCCCGGGACTTCTACCATCTGCAACTTCAGCCTTCTCCATCCCTCTCTTCAGAACCCTGAGTAAGAAGCTGAGGTACTGGAAGGGAGGGGTGGCTAAGCAGAATGTCAGTGCCAACTGGGTTCGTAACCAGGCTTGAGCTCTCCATCCTTTAGGCAGGTCCTCTTCTCCATAGTGCTGGGCAAGAGGGGCCAAGCACATGGCTAAATGTAGGATGAGAGGTCACCCAAGCTTTCAGTGAGGTCGCCCAAGCTTCCAGTAAGCCTTGGCAGGTCAGGCTTAGCATGGATTCTGGTTAGTCAACAGATTTATTCCCAAAAGCTAGGACTTTGGTTCCTGTGATTTTTTTTTTTTTTTTTCCTGATTTGTGCATGCTCTGAAGGCAGATGTCCCAGGGATGCTCATTGCTTGTACTTTTCCCTGTCATTCACCTACTACTGCTCACTCCTGGTCCTCAGACTGCTCTTCAGTTCCTGGCTCCTTGCGCAGGCCAGACTCACCAAAGCAAAGCTTCGGGAGGCTTGCTGAGCTTTGCGGCTCAGCTTCCAGCAATGGCTGAGAGGCAAACAAAAGGGAAAGATGACTGCTTCACACCAGGCTTCATCTGCAGGCCCATCTGTGCTGACCAGGATTCTCCAGAGCAAGAGAACCAATAGGAAATGCATGGATAGGCCGGAATCCAAAGAGACGCATTGTTAGGGATTGGCTTGCCTGGTCCCAGTAGATGAGAAAGAAGCCCCATAATCTGTAGGCTGCAAACTCCAGGCTGAGGACAGTCGGTGATAGAGTTCCAGTTCAAGCCAAATGCCTGAGAACCAGGGGAGCCAATGGTGTTAGTCCCGGTCTGAGTTGAAAACATGAGAAGTGGGAGCGTCTATGTCCAAGGGCAGGAGAAGATGGTGGCTGTTCACAAGTCAAGAGAGGGAATTCACTCTTCTTTGACTATTTTCCTATTCAGGTCCTCCATAGATTAGATGATGTCCATCCAGTTGGCTAAGGGGGTCTCACACCTTCCCTTCTCTGTCTCCCAGAAATCAATCTCTCAGGCTGATGGGAAGGTGCCAAATTCCTGTCTTTGTTGAGACCTTTCTGATTCTTCAGGGAAGAACCGAAGTAGAGATCCCACCCACATTCAGAAAGCTTTCTCTCTCCTGGGGAGATCCTAACATGATGAAGATGGTCCTAAGAACTGGGGAGATGATTCAGGCAGATAAGAGCTTCTGCTGTGCACCCATGAGGATCTGAGTTCAAATTCCCAGAAACCATGTAAAAATTTGGGTGTGGGTGAGTGCCTGTAACCACAGTGCCCTCGTGGGCAAGGGAGGTACTTAGGTGGGGACTGAACATGCACTGGAGTTTGCCTAGCCCTAATTCAGTGAGAGACCCTGTCTCAAGGGCTCCTGGACGCTACATGAGCGTAATGCATGTGTACCTGCACCCATATGTGTGCATATACACTCACACACATACATACTGTGGTAGTTTGAATTGGAAGTGTCCCCATAGGCTGCAAGTATCTGAACAGTTTTCAGATGGAACAGTTTTCAGATGGTTAGGGGAGAGTCATGGAACCTTTAGGAGGTGTGGCCATGCTGAAGGAAGCATGTCACTGGAGGTGGGCTTTGAGAGTTCCTAGACTTCTCTTTCTGGTTTTTCTCTGCTTCCTGTGAGTGTTGCAAGATGTGAGCTCTCAAGATTTCTGCTCCTGCTGTCTCCTTCCATGCCTTCCCCTCACCATATGGACTCTTAAACCTCAGGAACTGTAGACCAAATAAACTCTTCTATAAGTTGGCTTGATCATGGTGTTTTATCAAAGCAACAGAAAAGTAGTAACTAATATGCGCACCCACACGCATGCCTGCACACAAAGATGGTGTCTGTGACCAACATGAAATGCGAACGAGCTAAACCTCAAGAAGCAGAAAATGATTCTGACCAGCAGTGGGCATAATGCCTTGTAAATCTCTGACCTTCCCAGCCATGCTGAGCACCAGGTAATATTATCCCTGCTTGTGAGCTCAGAAAACAAAAATACAGATAAATTAAGTAATTATTCAAAGGTCACACTCCAGTACATCGACACCATGTTGATTAACTTCAAATGTTGCAGATGATTTAGTCAGATTTATGTCTTTTCTCCCAAAACCAATCTATAAATCAGATCTGTTCTATGTCACCTCATACCAAGCACCCTCAACAAGCCTATCAAAGTACCTCATACTTTAAAAGAAAAAAAGAAGGGGCTGGAGAGATGGCGCAGCAGTTAAGAACACTGGCTGTTCTTGCAGAAGACCCGGGTTCGAATCTCAGCACCCACATGGCAGCTCACAACTATCCGTAACTCCAGTCCCAGGGGATCCAACAGCTTCTTCTGACCTCCTCTGGCATTGCATGACACAGGTGTACTTATTGCCTACATGCAGGCAATACACACATACACATAAAATAAATAAATAAATAATTTTTTTTAAGTTTTAAAAAAGGGGCTGGAGAGATGGCTCAATGGTTAAGAGCACTGACTGTTCTTGCAGAGGACCGGGTTCAATTCCCAACACCCACATGGTGACTACAAACTGTCCTGAACTCCGGTTCCAGAGGAATCTGAAGCTCTCTTCTGACCTCTGCGGCATTGCACGACACGGGTGCACTCACATACATGCAAGCAATACACTCATACATATAAAATAATAAATAATAAATAAAATATTTTTTTAAAAGTTAAAAAAAAGTGAACGATTGATTGAATCATCACATCTAAGTAGGAGGACAGAGAAAAGTCTTACTTGCCTGGTAGAAATCATTGAAAATCTAAAAGTGGGGCTGAGAAGATTATTCAGTTGGTAAACTACTTGCCACACAAGCATGGGGATCTGTGTTTGTTCCCGGCACCCATGTAAAAATCTGGGTGAGCTTGTGTACACTTGTAATCCCAGCTCTGAGGAGGCTGAGGAACTCAGTTCCCTTGGTTTGCTGACTAGCCAGTCTACCCTAAACTACTAGCTCCAGGTTCCAGTGAGAGATCCTGTCTCAAGAAACAAGGTAGATGGTTCCTGAGGTAGACCTCTGGCCTCTACACATATATGGCCTCACACGTTTATAACCTATACACCACACACTTGTGCCCACATTAACCATTAACGTGTATGCACACACACGTGCGCACACAAAAGAAAATTTAAATATTTTGTGTACTATGGTTTTCCCTGTAAGAGAGTTTATCACTTTCTGTTTGTTTAAAGCAGTGAGCATTATCCAGGAATGAAGATCAGTGGTACATAGATTTGTCCAGCATGCACAAGGCCCTGGATTCAACCACCAGCACTGTTAAAATAATAAAAATAAATATGAAATATTAATAAAGCAATGAATTTTTTACACTATTTTTTTAGCTCATGAGTCATTGATTGTGTGGGCTTTTGACTGGTCTAGGGTGGCCTTGGCTATGCACCTGATGCACTCACCTGGGGCTAGCTGGATAGTCTGAGGAAATTTGACCTTGCTGGGCTTACATAAGCTCTTGAACATGTTTTGGGCCCCGAAGATGAGGAATCACCTGTGATCTCACTTTCCTGGTGTTCTTCATATGGAAGCTACAGGTGACCTAGAAGACAAGCCAAGGTATGCACGACCTCTTGAAGGTGAAACTCAGAAGTAATATCACATCACTCCTGCTTCATCCCATTGGTCAGTCAGTCAACAGACAAGCTCAGATTCATGGAGTAAGGACAGAATTTCCACCTCTTAAAGAAAAGATTCACAAAGTCATTCTGCATAAATTCTGGTCACATTTCCAATTCAACTAAGTGGTCTTACTTATTTGTAGAGAAACTATTAGCAACTTTCCCTAGCAACTCGCAGTTCTGGCCTTTTCCTTTAAAAATCAAGGAAAGGGCTAATGAGATGGCCCAGAGGGTAAAAGTACTTGCTACATAAGCTGAGAACCTCAGTTCAATTCTCTGAATAATGGTGGAAGGAGAGAACCAACTCCCAAAAGTTGTTCCCTGACCTACACACATACAAACTTTCACAAGAACCAAGTTCTTAGCACTGTCTGTAATATTAGTACTCAGGAGGCTGAGGCAAGGGAATTGTTGAGAGTTTAAAATCTACAAGTAAGCACCAGGTCAGCCTAGACTATAGCGAGAGCCTGTTGCAAAAACAAAAACGGAGGCCAGCAAAATAACTCAACAGGCAAAAGTGTTTGTTTTCCAAGTCCAACAACCTGAGTTTGACCCTTGTAAATGCACAGATGCCCACGCATGCACATCACACACACTCACACACACACACACACACACACACACACACACACACACTA